AGTTGCTTTACCTGCCCATGAAGCCGTTGACATCATCGTAGCTGTCGTAGATCTCCAGGAAATCAGCCATACAAGCAACGTCCTCCTCAACATCAAACTCTAGGAACTGCAGGTGGATGCGTTGTCCATACTTCACTCTGATGTGCCAGTAGCAAATTTGGTCGTTTTCATACTCGTTTGGGTAGCCTGGAGACTTAAAAATATGTCTTGAATCTGTGAAGACTCCACCACATTCTTTTCCTAAGAGGCAAAAGAAAAGGATCAGAGTTAAAGTGTTTGGTTTTGTGTCCACCTAAGCACTCAGCCTTCATGAGGAGTGTCAGTCATTCCTGGGAGGTATTTTGGAAACAAGAGGTGTGATCCAAAACTCACTGAATTATTGGAAAAGCTTTCACTGATTTCAGTGGCCTTTGGGCCAGAGCAAAGTGTTTCTGTAAAGGGCATTTGGGGTTTCTGGCTGGGTCAAACTGTGAAACTGGGACTTGGAAGCCACCCTGGCCTTCACCTCCATCCATTCTTCTTCAAAAAATTGTGTCTTCTACAGGAAAACTTCTAGCAATCGTGTTCTGGGGGTGAGGGGGGTGCTGAGCCTCAGGCTGGATGCTGTGATTCACCCTCTCAGCCTGCACGCTGTCCACGAGTCCTGAGCTTTCCAGCTCTAGGTCATTGCTATAGGTTGGATGCACTTTTCCAACCCCTGAACACTTCCACGAGTTCCTCTGGACATCTCCAGCAGCCTAGGGAAGAGCACAGGCTCAGCTGAAGCAGAGTTTTGCCTTTGTTCCTCCAAGCTGCTGGTCTTCCACCTGCAAGCAAGACTTTGCAGCAGCCTGCCTGTCAAGTGTGACTATAAATCCTGTTACAGGAGGGATTCTGTGGGTCTGCTGAGTGTTGGCAGCTCTGCTTTCCTTTTGTCCTCGACCCAAACAGTGCATTTGGAACGTAACCACCTCTCAGCCCAGAGGAGAAGGCTGACAAAGGAGAAAGCTGGGCTGAGAGGCAGGGATCCTCAATGCAGTAGTCTCACTGGCAGCTTCCTTTGCCTGTTGAACATCTGTGAAGGTCCCCCACCCCACAGAGCTATTTGATTAACAACTGCCCAGCTCACGTAAACAAGCTGAAGCCCTGGGAGCACAAACAAGATGTCCACAGCTGGACAGACGTCATGGACAGCCCTGGAGAGCCCTGGACAGCCCTGGAGAGCCCTGGACAGCTTCTGGCTCTGCCAGGCAGGGCAGGATGCTTGCAGGAGGAGGGCAGCCAAGCTGTGGCCAAAGGGAAGCTTTGCTCTTCTTGCTGATGCTTACTTCTGCTGTCCTCCCTGCTGTGTGAAGTGACACCAAGCAGTGTGCCCAGGTGGCCAAGAAGGCCACCAGCATCCTGGCTTGGATCAGCACTGGCGTGCCCAGCAGGAGCAGGGCAAAGGTTGTCTCCCTGGATTGGGCACTGGGGAGGCTGCACCTCAAATCCTGGGGTCAGTTTTGGGCCCCTCATTCCAAGAAGGACCTTGAGGGGCTGGAGTGTGGGCAGAGAAGGGCAACGAAGCTGCTGGGGAAGGGTCTAGAGGCCAAGTGTGGGGAGGAGCAGCTGAGGGAGCTGGGGGTGCTGAGCCTGGAGCAAAGGAGGCTCAGGGGAGACCTTCTGGCTCTGCACAGCTCCTGACAGGAGCCTGGTGGGGGCTGATGACAAGGAACCAGCTAGGACAAGAGGGAATGTCCTCAGGGGAGTTTTAGGTTGGACCTGAGGAACAATTTCTTGCCCTTGAGGGTTGCCCAGGGCAGTGGTGGAGTCCCCACCCCTGGAGGGGTTTCCAAGCCGTGGAGATGTGATGCTGAGGGACACGGGTTAGTGGCTGCAGGAAGAAGGTGATCACTGAATTTATCCTGTTTACAGGCTAAATATCTAAGAAATTGTGCCCATTTTTAGTTTCTGAGAGGACTTTGCTTAGCCCCAGCTCTACATGGCACAACACAGAGCAAGGACCCTGAGGTCTGAGCAAACCACATCAGCTGTAGATAGCAGCAGAAGCTCCAAATCCACGTGCACCAAGACACCCCGTGTTGAAGCCCCTTTCCCTCAGAGCCTGGGCACTTTGTGCAGCGTGGTGTGGAGTCAGTTTTTGAGCTGAAAAGAGCCACAGGTGGCTGTAAACCCACCGTGGGGGTTGTAGCAGTAGGCGTCCCACCTCTCGCTCCTGTTGAGGCGAATCCCATAATCCACAATCCCCGTTCTCCCGAAGCCACAGTTGGCTCCAGCTTTTACTATGGGATAACCAACTCTGCCCTTTGCCATCCAGCCAGCAGCACACACGTGGAATCCTGCAAGCAGGGAGAGAATGAGGCGTGGAGGTGATAAATCAATCCTAGGCAAGAAACTCTGCTTTTTATTCAGCTAAGGGAAGTCTTGCTCAAGCCTGGGGTGTAATTGTCCTGAGAGAAATGGAGCTACAGGAAAAAAAAACAGCACTTGGGATAATTTTAAACACTTTGAGAGGCTCATTTTAAACCCTTAGAGAGGCTAATTTTAAACACGAGAAGGTAAAAGCAGGTTGTGATCTCCACAGAGTGATTATTGGTTCTTCATTTGACAACAAAATCAAAGGCAGAGGGACGAGATGGTTTCCCCTGGGAGGGAGCTCCAAGTGCTGTCCCAGCACTTGTAACCCAACTGGATATTGGGTGAGTTCTGTGTGTTCTTTGTTCCCCTTTTGAAGTCACACAAATTTACTCCATCACATCTCAGGAGGCTGCAGAGTTAAGTTCTGAGAGTGAATAAAATGCTACACACAGAGTGCTAAGAAAACAAACTATTTAATTAAAATGCTTTCAATTTAAATACCTGGAAATGCCTCAGGTATTTCTTGCTAAACAAAAAGATCCCCTTAGTGCATTTGGTGGCCAGAACCTAAAAACACTAGTGAAAGAAACCAGTCCAGGGGTTTCACCAGATGGACTGGAACATATTTGTGGTGTCCTAGGACTAGGAGCTGCTCAGAAAAGCCCAAAGTACCTCTGGTGCCCAGAGCCAGCCTCTGACTCACCAGCAGAGCCTGCAGATTCCCAGGGTGGCTATTTTCCATTGTTTTCCCAGTGCTCTGAAGGGATTGATCCCCTCTCCTTGGGGGATCAAACAGAAAGGGAGCAGAGCCCTCCCCCAGCTCCACGCTGGCTCCAGGGATGCCCTTCTTGCTGTCAGAGCACACAGGGCTGGCACAAACACGAGGAAAACACCTTGGTGATGGTCTGGGGTAAACACCAGCCCCCAGCTGCTGGAGCTGGGGAGGTCCCAGCGCCTCCCAGCTTGGCCAGAGGTCTCTCTGCTGGGGGTGACTGGTGCTGGCCCCATTGCTCAGGAGGACAGGCAGCACTGCAGGTGTCACCCCTGCCAGCCCTGGGCTGTGCTGCCATGGGGGGAGTCACACACACCCCAGGCAAGCGACGAGCCCTCCAGTCCCAGAGCTCCCAACACTCCCCAAAACAGGAGCCCGGGAACGTGACGGGTGAGAGGGGGGTGAAAAGCCAAAGGGCAGGAGGTTTCCAAACCTATTTTTCTCGCGGCTTCCAGCTGCTGGTAGGTGGCCAGATGTCCTCCCTCGTACTCGCAGACGGCTTTGGCTTCTGCATAGGTGAGCTGGTACTTCCCCCAGCGGGACTCCCGGTGGTACACGCCGGCAGCGCGCTCTGCGGGACCAAGGCAACACAGGGCTCCTGGGGTTCGTTACAGTCCAGCTAGAGGAGCCCCAGCAATGCCCCGA